CCAAAACTGCCGAAACCCGTAAAATACATGATTTTGAATCTTGTGAAAAACTGGTTCTTTTTTTTGGGAAAATGGAGATTAGACAGAATATGAGTGAGTAAGACTGAGAGTGATTCAGTTCGGACGGTGGTCGCCGTCGGCTGGTGCCGCCTCGGTGAACCGTTGACGACCGCGAGGAACCGATGCGCATCTGAAATGACGTTATCATGGACATGGCGAGGAGTGTGTGTGTGGGTAGACCGCCGAACATTGTCGCAATCAATCTGATCGTAGTCACATCACACAGCCAGTTCGCGCTCCTTCCGATCGTCGCCATCGCTGCCTACAATCATCTGTATCGCCCACATATCATTTTCAATGTGTTAACTGTACTGCATTTTTCGCATTCAAACTCTCAACAAACCATCGTTACTTTCCTTCAAAGATTAATGCATAGTAGTGGATGGATAACACAGTGGTAGTGATGTCCGTCATCACGAGCGTGGTGCCAGTTCGATTCCCCTCTGGGCCAACTCCCTCATCCCTCCGCGACCGGGAAATTAGTGCCGGACTTTCTTGGGAAAAATCACTCTCTGCAATCCAGTTGGGATCGCTCCAGCCCGGCTATCTCAGGACTCCAGGTAGAATTACTCTTGACCAGCACTGCACGACATCCGAGATGAAATGAAATTCTCAAGCAGCAAGCGAAGCCACACGTTAAAGTTCAATCGATACGAGGAAACGAATCGAATGTGAGAAGTGCTGGAATCCGCACAGTAGACGTGAAAACGGGTCATGTAAATAAATAAATGAATAATAAATGCACAGTAACTTATTCGAATGAGCGCACACGACCAGTCGTCAAAGATTAACGTCGCAGTGACGACTTCGAGAACGTTAAATTCCACTGTTGAACGAAGGCAAAAAACCTTTACAATCGAAGAGAGTGAGTCAGTCGAAATGTTCTATCTATACAGGATCCCAGACAGAAAGCACATAAGGGTTCATCACCACCATTCAAATACCACTAGCGGAGTTCCGATGACATCTTTGAGGATAATTCAATAGCTCATCTTTACAAATCATATCGATTGCAGTTGTCATCAAATGGTGGCGTGTCATTTGTAAAAGATAATTAGTAAATCTAGTAAATAGAAAGCAAGAAAACATTTTTTGCTGAAACACACGCATGCCGCTAGAACCACGAAGGCCACATTCGTACTCGTTAGTGAGAGAAAATTGTAACAAGTTCATCGGTTGCAAAATTCTTTGAGCATTCAGCCATCGTTGCTCATACTGGTCTACGAAAGCCCTTCAAGACCTTAACTTCACTGATATATTGGTTTTATCCACTCAATCCCTAACCAGAACTAGTAGGCTCGCATCTCTTTCTCAGAGGATGACAAAAATGAATGCATGTTGTTTGGTCATCCATTATAGTGTTCGTTCCAGAACCAACCTTAGTTACGTCTATTTAACCATTTCTATTCCCACAACTTATTAGAATGCACTCTCCCAACGGTTTACCTCCTCATTGTGGCTGGGAGGTGTTGCTGCGTGTCGGCCTGCGATGTACAGCGGATAATTCATCCCTTGGCAGTGTCCCCCAAGCTGGGAAGGAGTCCGGTGTTTCCATCGTGAAGCCTAGCTAAGATTAAACCAAAACCAGGATCTACCACCGTCCTGGTATCAAAGTCGCATGGTGGTAAATCTCCCTCTGATCCACAAGGGCTGCAACTGCCTGTGGTGGTGAAGACCTGGGGCAGAATTTGACCAGGCTGACCTCGGGTTTCCAGGAAACCACAATGGCTTAACCAACAAGTCTCCAAAAAATGGAGATTATGCTGGGGCCTGCACAACCAGTGAGAACGGACCATCCAAGTATCCGAGTACTGTGCTGAATCGAGTCAAATTAGTGCTTCATTTGCCAGATCAATTATGAGCGCTTCACCAAGTTATTACGGACAGAGAACAGATCTCTTCCCGGCGGCACACAATTTCTATACCAGAGAAGCATGTGATACACCAGCGTGTCCTACCGAAAGAAATCTCGCTTGTTTAATCTCCTAGATTTCAGAAATGTGATCTTCGACAATAAAATCAAAACAATCTTTCACCTGTTCTAGAAATCTGGATCTCTAAGATACAGAGCACTTTACTCCCACGACCGACTTTCTATTAACCTCGGCATTGATCAAGTAATTCTTCGTATTTTTGTTGAGCAAACGCGAGGTGTTATTATTCTTTATTCACGAATGAGCTGACGTTTCGGCGGATTTCGCCTTCCTCAGAGCCGCTTTCTATGAGGTCTCCACTAAGTACGTCACGTAGAGACCAACCGCACAGAAATCACATGGAAGTATAATGTGACCCACAATAATCACNCTGTTCTAGAAATCTGGATCTCTAAGATACAGAGCACTTTACTCCCACGACCGACTTTCTATTAACCTCGGCATTGATCAAGTAATTCTTCGTATTTTTGTTGAGCAAACGCGAGGTGTTATTATTCTTTATTCACGAATGAGCTGACGTTTCGGCGGATTTCGCCTTCCTCAGAGCCGCTTTCTATGAGGTCTCCACTAAGTACGTCACGTAGAGACCAACCGCACAGAAATCACATGGAAGTATAATGTGACCCACAATAATCACGTAGAGACCCACATTATACTTCCATGGGATTTCTGTGCGGTTGGTCTCTACGTGACATACTTAGTGGAGACCTCATAGAAAGCGGCTCTGAGGAAGGCGAAATCCGCCGAAACGTCAGCTCATTCGTGAATAAAGAATAATAACACCTCGCGTTTGCTCAACAAAAATACGAAGAAGAGCACTTTACATTGTTCTTTATTCCAATTATGTTTTCTGTAAGCCAAGATGTGTTCTTAACGCTTAAAGGTTAGATAGTTTTCAGCCATGGGTCATTTTAACGCAAATAGGTTAAAACTGTTCATGGGGACGAGCATCTGGAAAATTCTGGCGAACCTATCACAGAACTGCAATGGTTTCCGGGCTTCGCACAAATCATTGTGAAAACAACCATGTAAATAAAAAAATGAACTGGTTATTATTTTTATTCGTTCATATCAGCGTCCGAATTCGAAAATTCCATTGATAACTATGAGTCTAACAGTAGACAAAATAATCGATATTTACAAAATATGACTTATTATTACGAATATGTAACCGACTGAATGATAAATTGAAAACTACTTTGACACTGACATATCCGAAATCAGTTCTGCAGAGAAAAAGCCAACGAGGTGAAAAGGCACTGATATCGGGCATAAGTGAAAAGAGAGGAAGAAATGAGTGGAAAGCTGAGTGTGCAAGGAATAAGTGCTCGACCGAGTAAGTTCGATCAGTTGAGAAACATGGCAGAGAGATCGTACAGCGATGACTGACCTCTCTACGAAAGCTAAACTATAACAATCTATATGGCTCTCACGTCTAGCGTACAGTGTAAATCCAATGATGCACATTTCAACGCGGAGCTCAGTAACAGAATATATGTTAGTGGAACTCGTCGCCTAAGCGAAGACTTATCGACAGTATCCGCCTGCCCCATCAATGAACGATGAAACGTTCCTAGTACAGTGTAATGATCAGTGGGCAAGTGATTATTCTCAAAAAATATGGAATTGTTTGCCGTCTGAAACTGCGCGGATTCCTCTGTTTAGCAGGTAGCGATGCTTCTGAAGTGCGTGCTTTTGTTGTTTCGCCAATTTCGCTTCAAATGTCTGAAGAAACAGGAATGAGATCGCTCACAAACGACGGCAATTCTGTTCACATATTCGACATAAACGTGAAGAACAAATCACTAATGGAAGGAGAATAAGTAGAAAACGCTACACTATTCTGGCACATTACAAACATGAATCGTCTGTGAAATCTTCATAAACATCGAGTACCCGGGGTACGGTGGGAACACGCAATGACCAACGGCTTCAAGCTGGCTACAGTGCTACACTTCCAGCCGGGCGTGGAAGGCTGACACTGCGTTTGAACAGGTTGGGGGAGCGGACACCTGTAGCGGAACTGTGTGAAGGAAACACTCCTCTGTCCAGGTATTTGATCACTCGGACCTCACATCGATTGAAACATGCCACGAAGAGATCGTCACCCTAAAACAGAGAAAGAAAGTAAGTGACGTGAAATGAAAACAACGCGTTCATCTAACGCTTCGTTGCTTAAATAAACTTTTATAAGAAATGTATGATAAAGGATAAAGGATAAAGGATAAAGGATAAAGTTCTCGGCGTTGATCAATCCCTGCGGGATGCGCCATGCATTCGATTTCATCAAGTATCCCTGGAGGTGATTGAACGCATGTCTGGCCTTTACAATAACTCGCGGTGGCCTGCCGATGTGTCGAGCCAGTGGTGTTATCCTCCCAGACAAGTTTGGTACCAATTTACCCACCCCGGAGGAATGGAAGGCTTGGTGGGCCATGGGCCCGAGGAACGATTCCACATGGAGTGCCTTCAACCACTGCGCCACACGCGCCCTTAGAAGAAATATAGAGTTTAATAACCTATGGCAGGTTTTTTTTAGCAGAAGGCAAAATTCCTTACATATGATTCACATGTTCTCCACATTTCTTATGATTTTTTCATACCACATTGACTCAATTCGTCAAGATTATAGCGCCGCTTTAGTGTAAACAAACAAAAATCAAATAGAAAACGGAATCCTGTATGTACTTGTTAAAACTTCTTATGGACCGAAGAAACTTTTGTGCAGGTATCGTAAATGCAAGGAGAAGCGTCCGTCTAGTCCTGGCTTTCATTCACCGTGTCAGTAAAGCGGAAAACTCGAAAGCACATTTAGCTCCGAAGGAAAAAAAGAAAAAATTAAAATAGGAGAAAACTAGAAAATTTTCTGCAGCACTCTTCTCATCACAAAAGTCGTTTCTCTATTGATAAAAACACATCATTATTTTTATCTTTGATAATTTAACATTGTGACTTGAACTGTAACCTCAACTTAACTGCGTTCATTATCGATTTAGGCTCCCTAGATCAATCCCGTTGACGGGTGATTGCCGATGACACTAATCGATAGAGCTAGCTGAGAGACGGGCGAAACGAAAGACCCGCATGGCGCGGTGGTGAACGCGTTAGCCCCGAGAAGGGCAATAGCGCGTTCGTTCCCCACCGCAGACACCTGCGGTCCGGGGTTTTGTAAACATCTCAGCATTATTGTGGTTGATAAATTTCACCACTTTCTTTTCGCCTTCACTTCTTTCTTTTTGTCATCACTCCTTTTAATGACGTTTTTCTGTGTTCGATTTTCGCTATACCGTGTTATCATAGTTTCATAAAACACCGAAACTTCTTATGATTAATTTTAGTGATATTTTCAATTAACCTCACCTTCTTTTATAGCATGACTGAGGGTAAATAGAATGAAAAAATGAACCGACACTGGTGCTAATCCCCAGAGCTTCTTGTGAGTGGAGTCGATCGTCAAGATGGATCTCCTTGAGCCGCCGAATTCCCTTCACACCGGACAGAAGGATCCAAAGTTTGCCGTTTGAATAATCTAAGACGAGCAGGTTTCCGTGCTGAAAACTGCAACACCATAACAAAATAAAGTAGGAAGCCATGGAAAGCAGTTAGCCGTCTCAAGCCCTCTATCTTTCATGAACTGGTGAAACGGTAGAAGAATGTATTATTGTACTTTTATTCTTTCCCAGCAATTGCGAGGTTGTTATACAGCATACGCTTACTTCCATACGAAAATATATACATATGAGTAAACACAATCTAAATCTCTACAAAATATTTGGAGATATTCCGAGGTGTATATGAGCCTCTGTGCTAGTGAAAAATTCTCTTACAAAAGAAAGTCCTTTTCAACGAAACCAAGGAAAGGACCACCTCCTATTTCTGCATCTGCTGTGGTATTTTTATGTTAAGAGGACCTTGTAGCGCAATGCTTAGAGATGCCATGTAACACACAAGTGGACGGTGATATGCGTTCACCAGGAACTGGTCAACGCATCAAGCTTTATGACTTTAAATTTTTTACACTAATAGTTTAAGGAAGAGTTTGGAACGGAGAAAACTTTTGAACGCTCATGTAATATTTAATGATACGCACCACGTCGACAATGGCTGAAGCTGGGCTTGAGATACGCTCGTAGAGTCTGTACGTTTTACTGAGGTCATATTCGTTAATGAGTGACAAAGTATGGTCGACGACGAATAGTAGTAGGCGGTTATTGGCGGCATCACATGTGAGCAGCACCACGGCTCTAGAAATGAATTTTGTAATTTAAATAACCTGCTTGTTGTCTTGGTCACCACTGTAGTTTAAGGAGAAAATCAAGAGCGGTGGATGTGGCTCGCTTTCCAATCCACTTTTCCTTATTTATTCTCCGTTCATACTATTCCTCCTTCAAAAATAATGAGCTTCTTGAAGAATACATATCGTAAGATTTTCGATGTAGCCACATGGTATTATTCAAGATTAACTAACCGAAAAGGGCGCGCGTGGCGTAGTGGTCGGAGACGCCCTGCAACACACAAGTGGAATCGATCCACGTGCCCATGACCCACCAAGCCTTCCATCATTCCGGGGTCGGCAAACTAGGACCAGACTTGTTTGGGAGGATAGCAGCACTGGCTCGATACATCGGTACGCCACACGAGCCATTGTAAAGGCCAGATAAGCATTCAATGACTTCCAAACGATGCTTCATGAAGTCGAACGCGTGGCACATCCCTTAGGGATCGATCAAAGCCGAGAGCTTTTTTACCATTTTTAACTAATCGAAACAACGTCATGCAATATGGTCTAGTCTGTTCTCCAATAGAGTGTCATCACCGTCAAATTGCACTACTGAACCTGAACTTTCCTGCCGTCAAATACAGCAATGATTATAAGGCAATGGACATGGATATTTTTTCAGCCAGTGGTGATTTATCGATTACTAAAAAAGAATGCTACCAATTACAAACTGCTACAAATGTTATTTTATACCCTATACATTATAGCCACAAATATACTTCAAGAAACCGATAGAATAGCGAAGGAAAGACAGCGGACGGAAGCAGCACAAAAAGCTTCGCTGTTTTGTAGACAACATGAAGATGAGAACAAAGCCATTGGAGAGATAATCACAATGTTAACTTCTTATTTACTGCCTTTTACCTTCTTTAACGACAGGGTATAATGTGTGATATAAACACAATGATGCTGAGATATTTGCAAAACTCCGGACCGCATCCTTCCCGAGGAAGAGAAAGTCGAAACAACGGATCCCCATGGTGTCGTGGTGGATGCGTTAGCTTTCGGAAAAGGTAATAGCGCGTTCGTCCCCACCGCAGACACCTGCGGTCCGGAGTTTTGCAAATATCTCAGCAATATTGTGCCTGCACTACAGAGATAATTATTTGGCGTAATATGTTCTTGCTGCTACCCGACCAAGAGAGCTGATGGAGCTCCTGGTGACGCAGTGGCGGTGATGCCGTTCATTTCGTGGATGGCCCAACCTACACTGGATCGATATCGCCTGAAGCCCAAGAAGCCTCTCATTCTTTAGAGTTGGGAAATTGGTACCATAATTGTCTGGGACCAGATCTATTTGTCTAGTCTAGGTGGAAATGCTCTAGCACAGTTATACCAGAATCCGAAGGAAAATAGATTTCACTATTCGACGACATTCACGACAGAGACGAAGACATTCCAAAGAGCAGTCGAGACCACACGCCGAAAAATTGTACAACCTTAGTGAATTGTGTATGCAAGAAAACAAGTCGAATGCAAATGCTGGGATCAGCGCTGTGCTTCACATGTGATTTTGTGTCATGCTAGTGAAACTTTAAAACTCTTAGTAATGCAAAAGCGCCTTCCCACTCGGCAGGCAGAAAGCTAAACACGGGGCAAAATTCTGCCTTCATAGGACGATACATGTAATCATCGGATTGATGCTGATGAGCAGACATGACATTCTTCACGGCGACTATGCCGCTGAAAAACAATTCTTCCTCTGAACATGCCACAGAACTGTGGACAAGTTAGTGCTCTCATAAGCACGACCTTAGCCACGAACATCGATACTGCTGAGAAACTAATGATCTGAATCCGATGTTTACATGAGAAAAATATGAACAAACACCTGCTTATCTAATCCTCACCCACTACGAAACAATGACCAATCTCAAAACGAAAACAAGAAGGAAATATTGTTTAATGACAAGATTGGCAGCAGAAGAACATTGGAAAATCAGCACTCCTATGGCCATATATTACAGTGGAACTAGCAGGTTCGTCTGTTGTCAAAAGCTGTCACGATAGCTAGGAAGATTGTGGAGATGCGCAAGCCGTAAGTAATCATCGTTTTTGAAACCAGCTCACGAAGCTTTCTCAAGAAACGATAAAAGGACTTTCCCATAAAAGGACAGAAACAACAGTTAGCCGCTGAGATGGAGCAGAGCTCGGCATCACCGCTTATTGATGGATCAATATGATTAGTCTCCAACATGTGGAAGAAATGGCCACTGTACCATCGGTAAAACAGGTCTTTCAAGATCGCTTTTTCTCTTGACTGTTCAACATCTCAACCGGTAAGATAACGTTGACTGGAATTATTGGTCTTCCGTTGAATGCAAAAATTAACGAGAATGGGATTTACCACCACACTGAATATATTCGTACTGAATCGAATGAATATCACCGAACCACTGATCGGTGTTTTAGGTCTTCAACAAATTGATGTCGGTTTGGAATTAAATTTTTTTTGTGTATGTTTTAGCAACGGTTTCTTTCCTCCAGTATTGTACCATTCCGTGAAAAATTGTAGTAGGTAGTAAATAAAAAACTTAACATCGTGATTTCGACTATAGACTCAGCTTAACTGGGTTTCCTGCCGATTTTGGCTTCCCAGATCAATCCTGCTGACGGGTGATTGCTGATGGCACTGATCAATAGGAAACTAGCTCAGAGACAGGCAGAACGAAAGACCTGCGTGATGTGGTGGTGAATGCGTTAGCCCCGGAAAGGGTAATAGTGAATTCGTGCCCACCGAAGCTAATATCTCAACATCACTGTCGTAATACTGAGATAGATACAAATCCTGGACACCAGGCCAGGTCGAACCACGATTACCCTTTCCGGGTCCCATGTGCTACGCATGCCACCACTGCTACGCCGCCACTCAGCTGCTACTTATATTAAAATGTTAATTCTCGGTTGGTATATGCCATTTAGAAAATACAGGTTGAAATCGGACATTGATTTTCAAAATAACCTAACAAATCTGGATTGCCAAGTCAATATAACTGTCTGGTTGCAAAGCAGAATTGAAATCCAAACTTCCGGCCAACGTCAATGATGAGAACTAAGAACGTCGCGATAACGCCAAAATGTCAAAAATTGGTGAACCGAATATGTGCTCTCTTTCAAACAGAACTGCTCGATAAAGTCCGTTGGCGTTTAGCTTCTACTAGACATAGAAAAGAAAACCACCAAATCGGAAGTCAGATATTTTCAGCAAAACCTTGAACGGAAGACACAACCTCTTCGATGTTCTCCAAGTGAGCAGAAACCACTGTGCATTTTTGTCATGTTGCAGAGATTAGTATAGGTTTTGTTAGTAGCTGCCTGGTTTACTTGAAGGTCAAGGAAACGATAGAAAACGTGACAGGTTACGTTAAATTTAGTTTATGTTTTGTCGATTTGAAAAATAGATTTTGTCGAAGTACAACAACCACAAGACTGCTGAGATATGAGCAAAACTCGGAACACCAGTTGGGCTTCGGACACACGATTACCTTTACCGGGGTGTCACGTGCCACCACAGCAACCAAGGTCCTTCCTTTGTCTCCTTCTCTCTCTCTCTCTCTCCCTCTCTCTCTCTCTCTCTCTCTCTCTCTCTCTCTTCCAGCCAGTTTTTATCCTATGGGTGCTATCAGTAATCACCCGTCAACAAGATTTCGATTGCAACTTCGGTCTAACTGGTTTTAATGCCTATTAGTGCTCTAAAATCGTTTTAGAGTAAAAAACATGCCTGAGAGAAAGGCAAAGCATGGGCCTCATTCGTTGTAGTGCATAGGGTGTCCGCCCAAGTGAGGCTCTGAGTTTTGCTCATATCATAGCACCCTTGTGGTTCTAGTTGACATCGCACCTCGTCATCAAAAAAGAATAACCAGTAAATAGAAGCGAAGATATTTTAAACACTTTTACGTTTTCGGTGACCCATATTGTATAAATAGGGCTAGGGCAATAATTGAAGTTACTTGTATTCCGCTTGGTCTTCGGCCACGCTCAAATATTGGTAGCGAGTTTTCCTCGATTCCTTCAACGTCTTCCAAGCCTAAAGTGGCAACTTCCATTGGAACAATCATGCATATATCGCAGTGTCATTCTATAAAATTAATTTTGTTAAGTACAGCACTTTGAGGCGAAGATACTGCATTGATAGTAATACCGTTCAATACACGAAACACTTTTTTCGAGCCCTACAGTAGGCTAATCAGACCTCTCATTCCTTTGGAGTGCGGGAATCGCTACCATACTTGGTTGAGGAAGCTCTATGCGGTCCTTCTAATTAATAAAGAAGAACAAAAATCGTCAAGCAGCAGCCAAACCCACATACGAAACCGAAACCCTCCATGGATAATGCACATGAGGAAACGAATCGCACAGAAGAAGCGTTGGGATCCGCAAAATTCATGTGAAGTATGGTGACGGAAAAGTGTTTAAAAAATGTAGTGCTTTACCTTTCTGGCCCTAACATAGCACCACAGGGCGCTCTTCATGTTGTCACCGCTGACCATGAAAAGTTGTCCACGTGGTCCAATTGTCAGCCATCGTGTTCGACTCATCTCGATTTTCGGATCTTTCGGACACACAATCACCTAAAGGGCCATATGTAACTGAAGTAAGCGGCAACGTCGATTTTTTCCTTTTTACTATTATTTTACAGCTCTTATCATTCATTCATTTTCGCTCAGCGACGGAAGGAACAACATAGTGAAAACCGAACTCTTGCCCACTGAACTAACTAAGTCAACTTTTACCGAGTATCAAATATTTCAATACTGTTAACTGATCATTTGAAATGCGATCGACCTGAGAAATGTACCAACAATGAGTGGAAAAATTTCCCAGGTCCCCATTTAGCTTGATATTGGCAAACTTGCAGCGAACGATACTTTTCAGACATTGAGAAAGATGAAATTAAGAAAGCGCAAGTGCACTAGTCATGCAAAATGTCGAGACGTTTATCAATCATGAATGAGGTAGTCGAAACAGTGTACTAGCGGAGTATGCCATAAGCCGAGTGAAAGTCGAAATCATCTGCACTCCAGTGCTGTCGTGGGGAAGATGACCGCAACTTCGTCACAGCTTCCTCTCCCTTCTCTTTCTATATTACTCTCAAACACCGCAGTTACCAGTCCACAGCGCCATTTTTCTTAGACCGATCTTTTGTAGGTGTCTGCTGATAGTGGTACAAGAATAAATTCCAATATAACTTGCTGAGCCGGGCGCATCAGAAGTATAGACGTAGTAGGTGTATGGGTTCGGTCACGATTGAGCTGATAGCTGTTCTCCTGGCGGTAAACAGGGGGAATGGCAGGGACGTGATAGAGCAACCAACCATGCTTCTTGCCCGATCACCATAGACCTGTTCAAGACCAGTCCATACTGTGAAGTTAGGGACCAATGTTATAGTTGCTTAGTATAACACTACTACTCATACTGATAGGAGTTGTAATTCAATTAATACTTTCGCATTAACACATTGATGTTAACATTTTTAACGACTTTACATTCTTAATGTATACGTTATATAAAGATCTTTCCTTCTATATATCAATTTTCTAGACGGAAACTTGAATTGATTCCTCACTTCGACTGCTAAATATTGATTGAGTACGATTGAGCAACCAAACACTATATCAAGAAATTATTCCATCTGGGACCTACATCGAGCTTCCTAAATGAATTAGCGATGTCGAAAACGTGCACTGATCTGCCCTTGGATTGCATTATACTGATGTACCTGAACATGAAAAGAGAAGATGAGGAAGAAATGAGTAGTGACCAGAAAACAATGGAAATTGATGGTGAATGAAGAAGGACAAAGATGTATGAAAATGTAGTGACTAGTGAATGACAGCGGAGAGGAAATAAAGAACAATGAAAATAAAACAGAAGGAAAACGAAACCAGGGAAAATGAAGCATGTGAAAGAAACGCGAAGGAAATACAAAAGCAAATTGGGATATTTGATAAGATGCCGTGAAAGGATAGGAATTTAGGATAACAGGAAGTGACAAAAATTAAAAACAAACGAAAGAAAGATCAAAGACAAAGATTAAACTGTGGTAAACGACAAAACGTACATCACTTCATTCTTCTCATCGATGGTCACCGAGCTAGCCGATGAGTTTTTAATCTGCAGATGCTCCTTTATCTTTCCATCGACATCGGATATGTAGACGCCTGAGGTGATTTAAATTTATTGCCGGTACAACGCGTAGTAACTTCAAAGACCGACTTTCTATTAACCTCGGTATTGATCACTACTTCTACTTCCTTATGAGCATACAAGACGTTTCTATCATACTACTTGTTAACAGTAGCTGACGTTTCAGCGGATTACACCTTCTTTATAGCCTGTAAAGGTCAAGTTGACTGCAATCTCGTAACCCAAATATCTCCATAACCTCTAAAGGCTAAGCACGAAATCTACTTTTCGACTGCAATTTCAACAAATCAGTTTCTTCATAAACTTACCGTTTTACATGAACCTTTCACTGAATATTCCACATGGAGGCTTGTTGCTGTATTCACACAGGAGGATAATGTGCCTTGCTCACGGTGACTTGAGAGTGATTGCATGAGTTCGGAGCACGGTTTATCCGATCTATTGTAGAGCGTGTGGTGACGAATACATTGGCAAAATCGGTAGACCACCCGAGGTTCATAAAAAAACACCTAGTGGTGGGTAAGTCTAAAGTTAAACCACATACTCCACTTGGCGCGCGTAGGACAGAGAGAAAACGGATATTTTGATGCCAAAAATTCGGTGCACTTTGAGCGAGTTCCAAGAATCCAGAGATGGACTACGGTGAGTAGCGCTGGGTAATCGTGTGTGATCTTACACAATATTTCGGGCAAATCTATGAACGTGAGAGAGGCAAATTACCAACCCATGTGAAATCTGTGAGGTTGGCTTCGTTCATTAATAGGAATAAGTGGAAGACTCACAGAAAACAGTATCTAAAGACGCTGTTTCAAATGCGGTTGAAATATAGGTTTCAGGCTTTTCTGTTGATATTATGGAAGTATATGGCTGACTGGACTGCAATTAACTCCAGCTTCCCAGGCTCTGAAGAAGGGAAAATCCGCTAGAAAATAGTATAGTAACAACTTCATTGTGTGTGTGACTGTATGTGTGTATGTATGTGTGTATTTGTGTGTGTACGTGTGCAGCCTTCAAGAAAGCAACATTATACTAGTTGAGTTAAAGATGTACTAACCATAGAAAACATTGTGAATTGAAATGCATGGAACAATTCGTTGAAAATAGCACACTAAACGCAAAAAGAGACATTTATATTCCTTGCTTAAAATTTTGAGAACAGAATAGCAACGCTTGCCTCCACAACTGTCTGAGATGGCTAGGTGATTTGGAAGGGTTTCCGTGGTGAACGCCTGAACGCAGATAGGACGAGTGAGGAAGCTTTTGCCAATGCTTCGGAATCGTTCGCCAAGCTGATTTGCCGTCTCTGCACTTGGCATCCCCTCGCCTTCATTCATTGAACCGTTCACCGTTAGCGGTGTTGGCGTGGCAGCTTGAGATGTTGATGACTAAAGTGTATAGTGTTTGAAAACGTAGGAGGAAGAAGAGAGATAAACACACATATACAGTAGCAATGTTGTTCGACTAGTTAACGAATACAGCCATGTTGATGACTATAAATATCGGAATGACAGCAAAATATCGTACTCTAATCACCATTGCGCTTTTTTCTTCCTTAAGCACACAATGACAGAAAACAGAATAAGAGCATTTGCAAACAAAACTGTTCTTACAGCATAAATTCCGCATTGGACAACCTCATCCAAAATGACCGTTGTGAAGAGAAATCATTGGAAGCCTTGTCGGCGAGAATTCAACTCCTACTGGTTCAACCCCGCGCCCTGTGCTCATCAAACATTCCATCCCATCGGTGTCGGCAAATTGACGCCAGACTTCTTTAAGAGCATAGAAGGAATAACTTGATACACCGATAGGTTATCACAAGTGATTGTATGGGCAAACTATGCATCCAATCACCTCTTACAATGATAATTGGAATTCAATGAAAGGTGCATCCCTCAGGAAATGATCAATGCCGAACTCTTTACGCTTTTTGATACCATTTTAAACACTATTATTGTTGTCTGCATTCGTCCACTTATGTCGCTGTCGATACCCCGACTAATCGTACTATAGCAAATTCCCTTCTACCCACAACAACTGGCAACTTCGCGGTAACGACCTAAAAATGCGATCACCCGGCTCTACAGCGTTTCTAAGAAGAGTCACCCTCGAACAGCATTCAGAATGTGAATGGAGAAAATACAATAAATAAAAAAGCAGCAGAATCCAGCTGTATACCCGACCGCTTTACGCTGACAGTTCTTGCATTCGATTAGTTTTCTCGCGTTTATATTTTACGAAGGCTGGCGAATGAGTTTGACACTTGCTTGAGGATTTTTCGCATTCTTTATAATTGTCTTCGTGGCTGGTTACTCTAACGTTTAGCGTAGCATCACACACGAATGAATTACTACACAATCTAAAATGATAAAGCTCTCGGTATTGATCAGTCTCTGAGAGATGCGCCATGCATTCGACTTCATTAAGCATCGTTAGAGGTGTCTGAATGCATATCTGGACTATACAATGACTCATAGTGGCCTACCAATGTATTGAGCCAGTGCAGCTATCCTGCCAGCCAAGTCTCATACCAATTCGACGACCTGGAGGGATTGACGGCTTAGTGGGCCAGAGGCGCGGGGATCGATCCTATATGCGTTGCAGGGCGCCTCTAAGCACTGCGCTACACCCAAGAATGGCTATAAATGAGCTAAGCATTCCATGCATGAAGAAAAAACCACTAAGACAATTTCCACCTCGTCTTTTTTTATGGAATTTTTTTACACGATACGTTCTCCTGCGTAGAGTCCATCACTTCTTGCATTCGATTCATTTCCTCGCATCCACCATGCATTAAGGTCTTCGAACTTTGACGTGTGAGTTCGGCTGCTGCTTGGAGATTATCACCTTCTTTATGAATGTTGTTGAGTGCTGATCAAATCTATTCTTCCTGGAGATCTAGGATAGCCGAACTAGAGAGTTCCTATTTGGATTGGAGGGAGTGAACTGTTCCCAGAATAAGTCTTGTACTAATTTCCTGACCCCGAAAGAATGACAGACTTAGTGAGGCTGAAGCGGGATCGAACTAGAACGGTGTCTGAGTAACTGCATCACTACCGCTGCGCTACCCAACAACATGGAACAGACAAGGTAATGAGTTAACTCAGTGATACGAAATTACTACGAAAAACATCCTATGGATATTGGAATTTGTGAGCACACCAACACAACGGAAATACAGCGAGAACTCACAGCGGCACTGTCCAAGGACTGATCGCAAGGATAGGCCGGTATAGACGACATCACCGAGCCGGGTTTTGATTCAGCGCTAGCGTGAGAAGGTACCGGAGACCTGCAAACAAAAATGATTCAGAGTGACAACAGCACTACAATATGTAATGTTGCGAAGGTATTGGAAAAGAGTTTAAAGAGAGCAAACAAACTTCTATTTTAGAAATAAATCACGCGACACCCAAACAGGTACCGTAAAACGTGAACTATTATTCCCAAAACATACTAGTGAACCATTCTATTTATTATACTAAACTATCGCTATTCTCATGAGAAGATACAAACAAGGTAATTACTTAAGTCTTAGTGCTGTAATCTTCATTGAGCTCATTCTGCCCCATTAGTAGTAGTCCTTAGTGGACGCTTTCTTTTCATATTTACTCAATTCACTTCCTTTCAATGATACTGAGGTATTTGCAAAACTCCGGACGGCAGATGTATGCGGTGGGAAACGAACGCGCTATTGTCCTCACCGGGGAGTAGCGCACTTCACCACCACAACATCCAGGTCCTTCGTTTTGCCTGTCTCTCAGCTAGTTCTATCGACCTTTTTCTTGCCATCAGCAATCACCCGTCAACGGCATTGATCTGGGAGGCCCAAATCGGCAAATATCTCAGCATCATTGAAGTTATATTTCATAATGTATACCTTGCCGTTAAAAAGAAGAGGCAGTAAATAATACGTTAAATTGTGATTATAACTACGGCCTCAGCTTAACTGGGTTCGTTGCCGACTTGGGCCCCTCAGATCAATCCCGTTGACGGGTGATGGCTGATGGCAAAAGATGATAGAACTAGCTGAGAGACAGACAAAACGAAGGACCCAGATGGTGTGGTGGTGAAGTGCGCTGCTCCCCGGTAAGGACAACAGCGCGTGTTCGTTCCCCACCGCATACACCTGCGGTCCGGAGTTTTGCAAATATCTCAGCATCATTGAAGTTATATTTCACAATGTATACCCTGCCATTAAAAACAATAGGCAGTAAATAATACGTTAAATTGTCACTTTCTTTCATTCTACCTCTAGCTCTACCTCTATTCATCCTACCCTTAACCTCCATTGAACATATTTTATAAAATATCTTAAATATAAATGCCAAAAACCCTACAATGAATAGCAGGGACGAATGGCCAGAGGTTATACGCGACCTGACCCCGTATATTCGCATCGATTTCTGACATGGGATGGTGCAGTCATGAACCATATGCGACTATAATCAGCTGTTCTAATCTTATTCATTGGAAGTCACGTAAAGAAGAGGTGAGTTTTTTCGAGAAGCTGTTGATCATGTAATTACCATAGAGTTTTTCGTCTTTCTGTAAGTGTTATTGAAGCATTTGGCCTAGTAGATTGTATATCAGTATACCCTTCCAGGCTCTGAAGAAGGTGAAACTGCCGAAGCGTCAGCTGTTGTATTGTATTGTGTTTTTCCATGGAAGTAAATGTATGCTCCACAACAACCTCGCGATTGCTGAACAAAAAAACGAGGCATTCATATTCCGATGCCGAGGTTAATAGAAAATCGATCCTGAGGACTTTTACAAAAATTCTAGTATTGAGAAAGCCTAGGGGCAAACTTTGGCCCAGCTAACCTCAGGATTCGAGGAAACCACAACCGCTTAACCAGCAAACTCCGAAAAATGGAGATTATGCTGGGGCCTGCACAACCAGTGAGGACGGGCTGTTCAAGTATCAAGTAATAAGAAAAAACCTAAGAAAACTGGATAAAATTAGTAGAATGAATTAACTACTGCCACGAGCTTTGAAAGCCTTGCATTTTTGGACGTTATTCAAGAACATTATAGAGTTGAACAAGTTTGAACTGACTGTCATCAAAAAAGGTGAAGACAAATTTTAGAAGATTACTTGACTGAACCCCTATGAGATTGTCGCGTTTCGGTGACCCATAAAAATTGGAATTCTGCAAAATTCGACTAGTTAAGAAAAACACTGGAATGCTAGAAATTCCAAAGATGAAGATGTGACAATTATAGGAGTAAAACAGTAGATTAACTTGAAATTTGATATATGTGAAAGGAAAACCCTGCAACTTGTGGCATTACCCACTGCTAATGTCAATAACGCAAAGTTCCTGTCACAATCAATTCCGAGGAAACTTAGATGGCTCGGGAAAATATAAGTGTTTTTGGGAAGAGAAGACGGACGCGCGACAAAGGTCTCTCTTGCGTAGTGCAGCACATCACGGCCGGAAACACCCTGAGTCGCTGGCTCTCGTTCTCGAGTTGAAAACTGACTGTAAATACCGACATATGCAGGGCGGTGAATGACACCGAACAACGGTGCAATGTTGGTCTTCACAAAAACACAACCGAATTCATGGATACATGAATTCCACAGGATTCACAAAATACCTGACGTATTGAAAACAATTAAGGAAATCACTAAGGAAACAATAAGTAGTAGAAGATAACAACAGCCATTCCATTACTTTGTGCAATATCCAAGAAAATATTTGGAAGAAGTACGGGAAATAAGAATGAACATAACCAACTAAACAATTCTAGACATCCGACGAACCATTCAAGCAGACGGATTTCAGTTTCAAAGAGAAAAAATACCGACATTAAATAGTGCAATTTTCAAAAATGGACAAATGAACATTTTCCAAAACGAGAAAGAAGCCTTATTGATTCTATCGATTGATGCTCATGGTTGAACATTTTAAACATACATACGAAAAGATACAGATAAACACAAATAGACACATGTATACATACATACAAATAAATGCATATACATATATATATATATCTGTAAGGAGCGTAAAGCATAAACCCCGACCATATGGAAGAGCACGAGCGAAAATGAACAAATCGCTTAATACGGGACGGCAGTAGTTCTGATCGAGTACAGAGAATGGCCATAACCCCAAAACGAATGCTTGTTTTGAAAGCGCTTTTGTAATGCAACATTACACAAGTGCTGTAGGCTAAAGAGGGAGTGGAAGCGTAGGTTTGAAAAGATCAGTGACAGTTAAATCAGATATGCTATCAAGCATCAACCAATAAACATCATGAAATTCTCCCTGACAAACTTTACGATGTGTTTGCATAATGCAGCACTGCTTGTCTTTACAGAAAAAAAACTAGAATCTGCACGAGTTATGGCGCAAACGATCCACATTTCCTGCAGGAAATGTGTTGAATATACGCTGAATAAGCAGCCAGGCCATATTACATACGCGTAAGGAAACACAGATGGGCAAAGAACGTAAGGCATTTACTACCTCACTGAAGCTTATTGACAACAAACCCGAATATTCGTATTGATAAAAAAGAATAAAGGATAAAGCTCTCGGCGTTGATCAATCACTGAGGGATGTGCCATGCATCCGACTTCATTAAGTATCGTTGAAGGTGACTGAATGCACATCTGGCCTTTACAATGACTCACGGTGGATCTCGCGCCTACCGATGTATCGAGCCAGTGCTGCTATCCTCCCAGACAAGTCTGGTACCAATTTGCCGACTCCGAATGGATGGAGGGCTTGGTGGGCCAAGGGCGCCGAGATCGATTCCACGTGTGTGTCGCAGTGGCGCCTCCAGCCACTGCACCACACGCGCCCTTCCGTATTGATAAAGAATTTTGAAGAAATGATAGGATTACAGCAAATGAGCCAAACAATTCCTCTACATAAAATTCTAAAGTCGTCTAGAGATAATACATAAAGTGAAGCGAAGAAAAACAAATATTTGACTATTCATTACGTTCTACGATCTTACATAACGGATTGAGGCAGGCATGAATTATTCATTGCGAACAGTGCACGATGGTTGCACTTCGCCTTCGAACTGCACGACTGATAAGATGGACGTTCCGTGACATATTCTATATGTGTGCAGAAAATCTATTATTAGAAGTACAATGATGCAGAGATATTTGCAAAACTCCGAACTGCAGGTGTCTGCGGTGGGGAACGAACGAGTCATTACCCTTTCCGGGGACTAGCCCGTTCACCCCCACACCATACGGGTTTTTCGTTTCACCTGTCTCTCGTCTGTTTATTATGAGAGTTTC